CTGGCTCTGTGTCTTCCATCAGACTGTGAGCTCCATCTGCAAGGGCAGATTCGGGTCTGATTCACCTTTGAGTCCCCAGTGGGTGGGGGTGGGGGGTGGGGAGACCAAAGCCGGTGTGGGGGGGCGCGCTGGGAGGGCAGGAAGGGGGAGAAAGAGAAGGGCAGACCCTGACTGGTTGGGGGAGAGAGGGGAGGAGAAAGCCAGAGACAGGAAGGACAGAGACACAGAGATAGGCAGGGAGGGAGAGAAACAGAAAGAGAAAAGGGCAGAATAAATGGGAGACACAGAAGCACCACAGGCAGAGAACAGGATGGAGAGGGCGAAAGGAAGGACAGACGTGCAGAGACAGAAGGGAGGACAGACGGAAAGAGACAGAGAGGGGCAGCCAAAGCAACCAAGAATGACAGGAGCAGAGAGGAGGAGGGAAGGAGGGAGGAAGAGAGAGAAAGAGAGAGAGAGGGAGGGAGGGAGAGAGGGAGAGAGGGAGCGAGAGAGCACGCAGGGAGCGTGGAGGAGGAGGCGCAGGAGAGAAGAGGGAGGGAGGCCAGCGAGGGACAGGACAGGGCGGAGAGGCGGAGGGGACCTAGGGAAAGCCGGGAGGAGCGAGACCGGCCGAGGGAGGAGGGCGGGCGAGGCGGGAGCGCCGGCCGCCGCCGCCTCCCGGCCTCTTTTGTCCCTTCCCTCCTCTGCGTCAGGCTCCCCTGGCCCGGCCTCCCCCTCCCGCTCCCTCCCCCGCCCCGCTCCTCCTCCCCGGGGCTGGATGGAATTTTTTCCCCTGGACCGGAGCCAGCTCGGGGCAGGGCGGGTGGGAAGCCAGGCCGGACTGGGCAGGGCGGTGGGGAGGGGCCGGGGCGGGGGCCCCCTGGGGAGGGGGCTGGTCCGACGGCCGTGCCGCTGGCGGGGTCCGGGGAGGGGTAGCCCCGGACCTCAGAGCCGGGGAGGAGTCGCCGGCCAGAAGGAGTCGGGGAGAAGGGAAGGGGGATGGCGGGGACGGCGGGAGGAAGGGGAGCGGCCGCGGGGCGGCGGAGGCGGGGAGAGGATGGAGAGCGCTCGGCGGCGGTGGGGCCCGGCCTGCGGGCCCGGGGCGGCGGAGGAGACCCCGTTCCTGCGACGCGGGAGCCGCGGGAGCCGTGAGTCTGCGGAAAGGGAGGTGGCGGACTGGGGCCTGGACTCCCAGGTCCCTGAGGGAGGAACACCCAGGGGCCTGGATTTCTGGGTTCTTGGAGGGGGAGTTGGGGGTGGGGAGGTGGCTGGGCGCCCAGATTCCTGAATCCATGAAGGAGGGGGCTGGGACTTGGATTCCGGGGTCCACAAGCTGGAGAAGGCTGGGGACACCTCCTGGATTCAGGAGGGAGGACCGAGATGGGGGCTGGGGCGGGTAGGATCGTGGCTGGAGGAGACTAGGGGCGCGATGCCCGAGCCCTTGGGGAGGTGGAGGAAGATTTGTCTGGCTTTGGAGTGCCTGCGGCAGTGGAGGGGTTAACGTCTGGCTGGAGGGGAGGGGGAAGGGCAGGGATGGGGCTGCGGGGCTTTGAGGGGTCAAGGGTGAGCCGTGCCAATGGGAGGGGGCCGAGGAGGAGGGGCAGGTTGTCTGGGCTGCCAGACAGGCCAGGGTCAGCGGCGGGGGCAGGGGATGTCTGGAGGAGGAGAGGCCCAGCATCCATGCTCCCTCGGGGACCCGGGATTCCAAGTCCCAGACCCCTCCTCCCTCAGACCTGGGAGTCCACCACCCAGTCCCCCACCCAGTCCCCCACCCATTCCAAAATCCGAGCCCCCAGCCCCCTTTTTACAGGATCCAGGAGTCTGAGCCCCCAGTCTGTTCTCTCAGACCAGGGAATCCACACTCCAGCCCCTAACCCCTTTAAAACCCGAGTTGAGAACCTCAGCCCCTCCTCCCAAGGAGCGCGGCCCCCAACCCTCTGCTCCTTGGGAACCCAAGCGTCCAGGTTCCGGCATCTTTCCCCCTTTGAAGCCTGCAGTTCTGGGGTCCCCCAGGCCCCTCCTCTCCGGAACCCAGGAGTCCCCACCTCCCCTTTAGCCCCAGCTGGAGTCCAGCCCTCCAGGGGTTAAGGGGGCGGGGCCAGCTGGTTGCCATGGTGCCAGACTGTTTGGGTCTGCTCTCTGACCCTTGGGGGCTCCCCAGGGTCCGCAGAGAGGGGGAGGGGGACCTAGGCCTGGGGGAAGTCCAGAGCCTACCCCTTCCCCAAAGCCGGCCTCTGGGCCCAGGGAGTTCGCGTTTCCACCAACGCCTTGTCCAGTGACCTTGAACAAGTCCTGACCCCTCTCTGTCGGCCTCAGTTTCCCCAAGGAGACACTGACTGGCGGGCGGGGGAGATGCTGAGGTCCCGGGAATCTTGGAGATTCTCGGCTTCCCTTCTCCCCTCACCCCCCTCCTCAGGCCCCAGGCAGCCCCGGGGCATGCTGGGAACCCGGGCCTGGGCTCTGGGCCAGGTTGGTGGGGGGGGCAGCCTCCTCCCTTCCCCTTCCTCCCCACCTTGGCCTGACTCTCGCCCCCGCCTGAGGGTCTGGGAGGTTGGGAAGGAGGGAAGGGGGTAGAGAGCTGGGACCGTAGACCCGTCTCCGGCCCCCGCCTCCCCCTTTCCTTCTCCGCCCCTTTCCCGCCTCTTCTCCCCCTCCTCAGCAGGTCGCTACCCCAGCCCTGGGCCCCTTCTCAAACCACCCCCACCCCACCCCCAGCTCCAGACCTGGCTCGAGCTGCGAGGGGGAGGGAGAGAGGGAAGGAGAAAGAGAGAGAGAGAAGGGAGGGAGACCCGAAGGGAGAAGGGGGAGGGGAGGAAAGAGAGAGACCTAGGAGGGAGGACAGGAGAGGGAGAAGGAGGGAAAGGGAGAGAGACAGAGACGGAGGGAGAGCGGGGGACAGAGGTGAGAGATGGAGAGAGGGAAGGGGGGGAGAGGAAGTAAGGAGAGACGTCCGAAAAAAGGGGGTGGAGAAGGGTGAGAAGGAGAGGGAGACTGAGACAGGGCCCCAGAGAACGAGAGAGACAAAGAGGGGGAAGGGGAGAAGGGGAGGATGAAAGACAGGAGGAAGAGGAAGAGAAGGAGAAAGAGGGGGGAAAGGGAGGAAAACGGAGCGGGAGAGGAGAGAGGCGATGGGGAGAGAGAGAAGGAGCACAGAGCCAGGGAGGGATGCCTGATGCAGGAGGAGGAGGCTGGGAACCAGAGAAGGTGGAAAGAAAGAGGGAGAGAAAGAAAAAGGTAGGGCCGGAGAGACACAGACTGTGAGAAAGGAGCAGGAAGGTGCGGCTGGAGCAGGGGTAGCCAGAACCAGACGGCCCAGGAGGAGGAGCTGGGCAGGGGAGAGACCTCAGCTGGAGGGGCTCCGAGCCCAAGGTGGGGAGGCTGGGTGCTGCGTCCACTGCCCACCGCTGCTGGGAGGCTGACTTTGGGAGTCTCTTCCCCTGGCTGAGGCTCAGCGCCCTCCCCTGCCTCACCTGCTAAATGGGGATGCTGAGGGCAGCCCGATCTCTGGACTGGGAGGTGTCAGACAGAAGACGTGCTCTGGGCCTGGTATGGTGTCAGCGCTGGGGGACTGTGACTGTCATCCTTAGAACTGACCCAAAGAAGGGAGGAGAGAGGAAGCAAGTACCCAGGGAGGCTTGGGTGTTTGCTAGCCCCTGGGCATGGAGTCTGCAGACTGACCGGAGGGTAGGTAGGGCAGGTGTGCCCAAAGGGCCAAATTCCAAGACAGCTGAGGTTCCCTCTGAGCCAGCACCCCGGAGGCCAGGTGCTCTGTCAGGCCATGCCTTCCCCAGGAGGCCTGCCGGGCCAGTGGAGGAGGATCTGGGGGCTGGGACTCCTGCGTCTCTGGGGAGAAGGGGGCTGTGGATCTGGACCCAAGAGTCTGAGGGAGGAAGGGGCTGAGGGCTTGGATTCCAGGAACACTTGGGGAGAAAAGGGCCAGGGGGCCAGATTTCTGAGCCTCTTGTGAGGAAGGGGCTGGGGACCTGGACTTCTGGGTTCTTTAGGGAGGAGGGGGATGAGGGCCTTGACTCCAGGGTCCCTGATGAGGAAGGGGCTGAGGGCCTGGACTCCTGGGCTCCTTGGGGAGGAGGGGCCGGGGGCCCGGACTCCTGGGTCCTGGCACCCACCCGTAGAACCGACCTTGCGGGGCCTTCGCCGCACACAAGCTCGTGTCTGTGGGTCCGTGTCGGGGGCTCACCATCGCGGCTGGGGCCTCCCCGGCCCTCCCCCCCCCACTCCCCATCCTCCTGGTCCCTGTCTGTCCGCCTGCCGCGCCCCCCGGGCTGAGGTAGGAGGTTGTATAGTTGAGGAGGACACCCAAGGAGATCACTATACGACCTCCTAGCTTTCCCCAGGCTGCGCCCTGCACGGGACGGGGCCCGGCGGGGACCCACAGCCCCACTCAGGGACCCTGAGCCCCACTGGGCTGTCCCAGGGACCCTGGGAGGAGGAGCCGGGCTGTCTTTTCTGTCCTTGTCCCTGCACCCCTCCCTACCCTGAACTCTGTTTTACTTCTGTCTGTCTCTCCATCTCTGCTGTGTCTCTGTGGCTTCTGCGTCTCTTTCGCAGTGGATTCTCTGCCTTTCTCTCTCGTTCTGGCTTTTTAGGTCTCTGCCCCTCCCGACATCTTTCTGCATCTGTTTCTGTCCTTTTTGGTCTTTCTGTCTTCTGGCTTTCAGAATGTCTCTGTGCCCATCTCCATCTCTGACCCCCACCCCAGGGCCTGGGGCCACCACATACCATGTTGCCAGCCTCTGGGTCCCTGAGACCCTTTAACCTGTGAGGACATCCAGGGTCACAGGTGAGGTTCTTGGGAGCCTGGCGTCTGGCCCAACCACACACCTGGGGAATTGCTGGCCTGACCCGGGAGCCCTGACTCCTCATACCCTTCCTCCAGAGCATGACATTTGGCCACTAACTGAAAACTGACCTCTGACCCCAGACCACTGGCCCTTCCCCCGCCCTGTGGCGACCTCATAAAGGTTACTAGCTTCTCCCCTGGCCTTGAGACCCACAGGATGGCCTTCCTGGCCCTGGCCAGTGCGGTCCTGTCTGCCCTGCTGGCTCTGGCTGTCTTCAGGGTGCCCGCCTGGGCCTGTCTCCTCTGCTTCACAACCTACTCCGAGCGCTTCCGCCTCTGCCAGATGTTTGTGGGGATGCAGAGCCCCAAGCTTAAAAAGTGTGAGGAGGCCTTCACGGCCGCCTTTCAGGGCCTCTCTGACGCCGAAATCAGTGAGGAGACCATCCACCTTCATCAGTGTCCTGGGGAGGGTACAGAGGGAGGGGCAGGAGAGGCCCAGAGGGTCAGGCTGAGGGATAGACAGAGAGAAATAGTCACAGGCGAAAGGCTCAAAGACCATGAGAACAACAGAGGCTAGGGACAGAGAAACACAGACAAGGGAGGACAGCAGGGCAGAGACTCAGAGAGGGGAGGATGGAGGCTCAGACAGGGAAGGATGGAGACTCAGAGACAGGGGAGGATGGAG